CGCAAAGAAAAACGGAACATGCAGCACTTTTTGATGGCTTCAAGGACCTGCTATATATGTGTGTGCGTGTGTTTTTTAACATGTTTTAAGAGTATCGTTGTAATTTTTTGGTAATTGTATATATATAATATATGAATCTCAGAAACTAATAAGAAACAGTTCGTTTCATATAACATAATTTTTTCGACTTTGTACTGATTGTTTCCAGTTTTCTGCAGTTCTTGTCTGTGTTAATTGATGGTTTGTTGTCTTCTGTTGTCCTGTTGTCCTATGTTAGATTAGATTACTTGAATGAAAAGAAGGAAAATAATTAAAATTGTTAAAAAAATGAATAAATAAAGTACAGTGTCGGCCAATTGCTTTTAGGGACCACCTATTCAGAAAAAGGAACAATTAGATTTATACTATTAAAAATATAAGCATGTTTGCAACAATAATATAATAAATTGTAAAAGTACAAGGAAATGAGAAGTACAAGTGAAATTAAACCACTATTTTCATCCCAAATAAAATGTGAGTTAAGCTTCTTTGAATCATTAATTCAAAACATAACAAATTTATTCCACTCTATTCACGTTGACCGTTGTGACTTGTGCCATATTATTATTATCCAAGCAAATACTATCTATAAGACAAATTTAGTTTATTTGTGATTCAGTATCCTCGTTCTTGTCACCATCCCCTTACCAATTCCCATGTTCCAACATGCACCCAAATTATACAAAAATCATGGATAATCACAAGATGAAGCTACCATAGAAAGAGGGCACAATAAGAATGCACTAGGACAAGATTTCAAAACATGGTCACCACCAATCAGTACAAAACCAACACAGCCTTATTCGCCAACTTTGTACACAGACCAAAACACGATCCTAAGATTTAACCCAAACATAACCGTTTTCACCACCAACATCATACACTAATCTCCACCATCACCTTCATTGGACGACCCATCACTTATTGGCCTCAAATTGCAGAAGCAACAAAAAACTCATCAAAACCCTGCCCAATGCTTGACGGGTATACACGTGGAGAAACCATCCAATGCATTAAAACCCTTTGTGTAGGCCTCGTCTGGAAAAAACACTCACACACAGAAGAATTGCAAAACGAAAATCACTCATCGCCCGAGTCATCATCATCATCATCATAATCATCATTCCCACATTCACAATAATTATCGACATCATCGCATATATCAGCGAATGAGTCATCATCCTCGGAATCACCACCCTCCTCCAACAGGCTCATCTCTTCAAACTCGTTGTCATAAAAGTTCTCGGAACCGAAATTCTCATCGTCGTCCGCATCCCCAAAGACAGTAGAATCAGAATTTTCATTATTATCGTTATCAGAATTTTCATTATTATTGTTATCAGAATTATTTTCCTCACCTTCTTCCTCCTCTACGCGGTATCCATCCGAGATGTGATCATCATTGTTGTGGTTATTACCATCACCACCATTGCTGACGTCATCATCGTCGCTGTCATCATCGTCGTCGTCGTCATCATCATCATCATCATCATCATCATCATCATCATCTTCGTCGTCCTGGGAATAAATGAAGTCATCATCGGTGTTGATGAAGTCATCATCATCGTATTGGTCTTCGTCGTCATCGTAAAAGACACCAAACGGGAAGAAACCGATTCGTCGATTTAGTGAACTGAGGACTCTATCCTAATAATTAGAGAGAAGAGAATTAGATTTTCCTTCATTTTTTCCCAAGGAGTGTCTACAGGAATGTTATGTTAGTTATCCAGATAATATCATAACAGAGTCTAAGGAATGCTAGTAGTACCTATGTTGAGTTCAGATATCAAGAATTAAATGTTCTAAGAGAAGTTAATCTCAGTCATTTACATGTAATTGTAGAGGGAGGTTCAATCTAAAAGAAATGAAATATGACCTATCTCAAGACATTTTACTTTTATGGAAAACAGAAAACCATTTAAAGGACAGTGGTTAAGAGCTTAACGCTATATTTTTGGCTAGATTCTGAATTAAACTTTAACGCAAAGCATTCCAGCACCAGTAAATTGTTGGTTAACTAAGACAGTTAGATGAGTTATGGCTTTTAAAAACTTTTGACATAATTTTGAAACTGAGCAAAACCAACTAAAGTGACTGAGGATACATCCCAAAAACTCAGAATGGCATTCTAAGTAAAGATATATAAAGTTTATTTATTCGTTATATTAGATTCCATCACCCAGGCATTAATTAGGCAAATATGATGAAGTGCTGGTCTACATTCAAAACAATCACATACCTTTTGAATGTTAGTTGGCAGAATGGCTCTCTCTATAGCTTTCGGGGTCCACATTTTTATGTCATGCTCCAGTCCACTGCTAGCAAGCACCGTAGCATGAGGATGAGCCTCGATGCAATTCACTATATGATTATCAGCTTCCATAACACGAATGAGCTCCCCGCCCTTTTTCTTCCAAATGAAAATCCGACCACAATCTGACCCACTCACGACATACTCACATCTAGGACCGAAAAAACCAACGCCCTTCACAGTCTCACAGTTCCTGTGCCCTTTGTAGGCCTGAGGAGCATCTGCTACATCTTCTAGAGCCCGTGAAGGAGACTTGTTACAAGGAGACAAAGGACCTGGATCATTATCATCATATAAAGAGGACTGAGGTCTAAACCCCATATCCTTTGTGAAGAGATAGATAAACTCGTCATTGTAGGACAAAAGAAGCTCGCTTTGTTCGGAGAATGCCAGCCCTGTTATGCCAACACTCTCATCTTTGACTAAATGCATTGGGCAAAAGTATTCAACAGGACGGCCAAATTCGGATGACCCATCCCACTTATATTTACGGATGTCAAAAAGCCGAGCAAATTGATCTGCTCCGCCGACAGCAAATAAGTTTGGGTTTCTTGGATCTATAGTGATTGCATTTAGATGAACACATGAGAAATAACTCTGGCTCGGTACAGGTTTGCAGGTGAAAAGGCTGGTGGCAGTTCCAGTTCTCAGATCGATCTGAAATGTTTTATGGTCACACTGTTAGGATCATAACCAGATCAAAAGATATAGTTCATCTGATTAATGAAAACTCAAGTACATGAATTATGAAAGGTGAAAAGTCATTCAGAGTCCAAAATGCTGGCTATTTGTTGATAAATGGGTTTGGGAAGAACTCATCCCCAAAACCCACATTTATACACAATAACTCAGTAACTAATCGATGTGGGACAAACATAACTTCCAACATGTATCTTCCTAATTATGTATATTTTTCTAGACTTTATCTTGATAAAAGAACACTGAAGGAGAAGAATTTATGAAGATTGAAATTTCTGAGATCTCACTGTCCTGCTGAAGAAACCCAAACATCAAAGGTGGAATAAAAAATAGCAGCAAGGTGGCTTATATGATTATACTAAGCTTATTCATGTGTTTTTAGCTGTGAACAACCTACGAAAAAAGAATAAAGGACGGATAACCACGGTCCCAATATTTAATAAAAGAAAATCATAACTTCAATTATATGTTAATAATATCTTTTGGTGGGAGACTACATCTCCTTTGCCTTTATAACAGACAGCCATTGGGACCCCTTTTTTGCTCTCTGGATGAAGGAATGAATACAGAAAGGAGTAAAAAGCTCACATGTTGAACCAATCCATCCTCCCCACAGCTATAAAATATATGAGGGCTTCCAGGTTCAATGGCTAGTTTGTGTGCCCTTCCCTGATGTTGTGTCAGCAAGTTAGTCACTGCTCCACATTCACGAATCTGAGCATGTCTGACCTGAACGAAAAGACTCATGTGTGTAAGAAAACTTCACTATAATCTGAATCTTTTGATAGACTAGTTTGCAGAGGCTATCACACTTACACTGAAATTCTTTCACTTGGAAAGCATTAAACACGCTCGATTGGGAGTACCAAAATAGAACAAATCTTCTCTGAGAGAGAGAGAGAGAGAACAGATCAAACGACTCACCTGCCCATCAGCTGCACAGGTAACAATGCTTCTATCCTCAGTGTAAGGCATGAACTTGGCTTGGAAAACATTGTTATCATGACCGGAAAAGAAAGAAAGTTTCACTCGACCAGTTTCCCAATCCCAGAGAATGACCCTCTTATCGTCAGAACCCGATATAAGAATATCACCAGTATCATTAAAGCCAACAGTGTTCACGCAACCATGGTGCTTGTCTAGCTTTCTTACGATATCGAGACGAAGCACAAGGTCCTGACCAAAAAAACAAAAAAGCAATGAAAATATAGTACTCCTCTTTCTCATTCATGCAGTCCATAGATGTCCAATTAGAGAAAATGAAAAAGAAAGAAAATTGGAACTGAACTTCAAATTTCAACAGTATGGCAGTATCCGATACCAAAATGTAACACAGGGATATT